CGGGCGCCATAGACCTCCATTATTTGAATGTCAGCAGACAGCAAGAAGCCTCCCAGATCTCCAGATGCATTTGAGATATCAAAAAAGTACTCCAGAGTGTTGTTCAGCATGGGGGTGAGTAGAAAATGAAGGCTAATCATGTTTTGGGTGTAGTATTCCTTTAAAATAAATGACATAGAGCCTGCTCAGGTTTCAATGGAAACCCAAAGTCTAATCCTTCCAGAACTGATTCCAAAGCTGAGTCAAAAACCTCCATTAGAGCCAGCGGTGCTTCACACACGGCCATGCAGAGAGAGGGCCGCTGCAGACGGGCTAACGTTAGCCCTGGCCGCTGCAGACGGGCTAACGTTAGCCCTGGCTGCTGCAGACGGGCTAACGTTAGCCCTGGCTGCCGCTAGCCTCGGAGCTCCGCTGGTTGCCGCGGTCCTCTCAACTTCAGAAATAGTTTTTTTAATTACGCATTAAATCGTTAAATGGACCATATAGTCACGCTTTTAGGTATAATATTCTTGCCTCAAATGACCTTAAAATGTACTTTTATTGAACAACAGCAACAGAAAAGAGAACTTTAACTTTCAATGGAGCACTCCATTGAAAGCTGCTGCTGCCTCAGTGCTTGCTACTGTTGTGTTTTCTTCAGGGTCGCGCAGCTTTGTCGTCACGCCCTCAAAACCCCGCCCACTTTGCATCCTGAAATTCAAAACAGCAAAACCGACCTCTGCGTTATTATTGGCCCGCCAGTTCTAGGGCCTGGAGCATTGATCGAGGCTAGAACACTCGCAGGCAAGAATGGTTTTGGCCGCTTGCGAGGGGGGGGGGTGGGGGTCTATTTTGCATTACTCAGGTAATGAGGTCACATTCAAAGTTGCAGCATGTGAAAATATAAACCCTTAGGGTAGCTATTACCTTTGACTTGAAGTAGATATTTACTGCGAAACTAATCATTTCAGTAATTTTTTTTTTTATTTTTATTTCCAGCTAAATTGAACTTATCAGTCTCAAACCAATATACATTTTTTTAAGTTAGAACATTTCACTTCTTTCAGTGTGGATATAAAGGAAAGTTCCACCTTTAAATGTTAACAGAATTTATTCCCAATGTTGTTGTTCTGGAATTCCTAACAGCAAAGGCATCCATGTTTTCATAATACTACCAAAGCTGTCCAGCAGATGGCGCCCCAACAAGCCCCTAATGATCTGTCTGTCTGTGCTGTTCAGATGTGAGAACTCTATCTGTGGAGCGCATCGAGGACAAACCCAGGAGTGCTGTCTCTGTCCAGCTGGCCTGCAGTGACGAGGCACCAAGCTAAAAAAATAAAATAAAAATAAAGAAGAAGAAATATTGTCTACCGATAAAAATATCAGCCAGAGTGTCAGAGGACAGGAACACACATGGAGCAGCTAATCATTCAGTCTGACTTATTTCCAGCTCTGCAACTAACGACTATTTTGCAAATCGATTAATCTGTTGATTATTTTTTTTTTCAAATAATCAATTAATAATCAGATAGCAAAACGTTCCTTAAAGAAAACTGTTAACGAAACTAAATCAGGTGAAACTAAAACTTTATTATCTTAAATGCATAACGTTTACATATTTCTTTTACACACTGCAAAAACGATCTAGAAATAAATAAAAATGTCTTAAATTAAATGTATTTACCCTTAATTTGAGTAGGTAAATATGAGGATTTGCCAATGAAATTAGTATCTTTTCTCTTAAAATAAGATAATTAGATAATATGAACTTGAAATAAGATAATGCAATTGTTTTTTTCTTATTTTAAATGTAAATTGTCTTGTTCCATTGGCAAAGTGTCTCACTTTCGTCCTCAATTAGAGGAAAAAAAGCACTTATTTTAAGTAAAAATTACTTAATTAGATTTCCATTTTTTGCAGTGCAATTTTGGTATAATTGCTGATCAAGGTCGGTCGCTTTGTCAGCTTTTTAGAGTCTCTGTTCTCCAGTTAACAGTTAATCGATTACTAAATCAGTTGACGATTATTTCCGTAATCGATTAATCCGGACTAATTGTTTCAGCCCTATTTGAAGATTTAATTAACTGATTTCTGGGTTTAAATTCTCTGTTTTTGAAATCAAACATTCTCATTGGAACCCTGCGCCTGATTCAACCCACATTTAGTAACTGGGTCTTCAGTTAAACTGCAGTTCTCTCATACTCACCTTTTTTTTCCCCCTTTGCCTTCTGGCAAAAGATCTCATCATGTTTAAACCATTAATAGTTTTCTCAAGGTAACAAGATATTTATCTCGTTATCAGGGGAAAACAGTTATTGATTTCTTGAGATTACGAGATGATTAACCTGTGTGAGTAATGAATGAGGCTGGCCAACAGCCCTGGATTCCCAGTCCATCCATGCCTGCGGGGCCCGTAGTTGTGCAGTCGCAGTACAGCAGGTGCACAGAAAAATCAGTTTTTTAGTGTCCTTTTTCTTTTCACTCATTGTCAGGTGGTGGTAGATGATTGGATTGCATGGAATACATTATGCTGGTGAAGATTCTCAGTCATCCAGGTCATAGTCATTCAAAAAAATTTTACTTTAACTGCTCAACCGGAACTGAAAGGGGAGGGGAAGACACTGCGGTTAGTTCAGGCTCGCTGGGAAATTTAAATCTCGAACTTGAAGAGGAGAAATAGATTGCTGACTCACGTTTCCAGAAACGTGGATGGCTCTTTGACTCCAGTCGTTGTGGGGGTTTTTCCAGTGTTTGTCTCTTTCGATGGAGGGCGGACAGGGTTTACCCAGAATGCAATTGTTTGTAGGTGAACCGAGAAACTGACTGCCACTTAGATTTCCTGCGGTGCTTGAACGGGTCGTTGTGGAGATGAATCCCTTGCTCAGTGTGAAGCTCAAACGATCTCTTGGAGGGAAGTAGATCCAAACCTCCAGTTTGGATCCTCAATTCAGTTTGAAACTCAGATGATCCTTCCAGGGAGAGAAGGTCCGAAACATCCAGTTTGCAGGATGAGTTCCTGCCGAGAGGCAAAGACAAAATAATGTTAAAACTCAGGTAGACAAACACTCAGTTTGACTCAGCAAAACTCAGCTTGGCTAGAGTACCCAAAACTGGCAAACACTCTAGCATCGAGGTAGAGGCAGTCAGCAGCTTAAGAGTCCTCCGTTCCACGAGGAAACCATCAGCAGGTGTGTGAGGAGGTGGACCAGAACCAGGCGCCTCCTGGTGGAGGAAGGGAGACAAACGCAGAAACACAAACACACAGAACGGAATCCTGACAACCTGGACGTCTTCAAAACGTCTTCAAACTTGGAAACAAAGTCCAGAGGATTGTTTTTTTTATTTTCTTTTTTGGAATGAATAAAGTAGAAACAAATCTGTTTTTGAATGAAAGTCTTTAATCTGGACTCATTTTGGGGGTTAATGCATCTATTACCTGTTACAGGTGTAACACTGTAACAGAAAACACCCGGCGTTAAGGAACCGAAGGCAGAGGTCTAAATGCTTATGAATCAGAAGAGGAAGCAAATCATCAAACCAACAACGTCCTCTTGTTACCTAACAGTTAAACACAGGATTATTTGCAGAATTACACATAGGCTGCCATGACGCTGTTGTAGTATCAGTTTTAACACACATCAATCATCTCGTTATGATGAGAAAATGGTGTTTGTTTTCTTTAGATTTAATCTTCAATCTTAAATTGAGATATTTTTTTATTTATTTCAGGGTTTAGTAGGTAAAGCATACTGTCTGTGCCTGTGGAAGCAGCTGCAGGTTGATCTCCTGAATCTCCACACTGGAAAAAATCGAAAACTTGACAAGTCATCTTTTCTTGAATAAAATGCATTTGTTCTTCAATTAAGGAGGTAAAATAGACATTTTGCCAATAGAACAAGACAATTTACACTTAAAATAAGAAAACACAACAAAATTGTCTTACTTTAAGTGTATTTTTTCTAATTATCTTACTTTAAGAGTAAAAATGCTCATCCCATTGGCAAACTATCTCATTTACCTACTCAAATTACAGGTAAATACACTTAATTTAAGATATTTTTACTTATTTTTAGATCGTTTTTTTCAGTGCAGAAGGTGGCTCATGTTCGTCTGTGATGGTCGTTCATTTTTAATGTTTCCCTTTCTGTGTTTTCAGGGTCAGGAGGGACCAGATGGTGTTGGAGAACAAGGACCTCCAGGGAGTAAGGTAGAGTAAACACAGGCCTTTCATAGAAAAAAAAAACTGTGAAGTCTTTTACTTTAAAATACGTCAGACCACTTTTTTTTTAAGTTCTCTGATTCTTGAATTGAAATGACTGGTTTCTCTCCACAGGGAAGTTCTGGTTTTCCTGGTTATCCTGGTCCATTGGTGAGTCTGAGATTCCTGCAGAGAAAATGAAAAAATCCTGAAGTCCAGGAAAGTCACAGCCTGTTCTGTTTGTTCAGGGTGAGAAGGGTAATAAAGGAGGCAACGGTTTTCCTGGGAGGACAGGGAACCCGGGTCGATCTGTGAGTGTTCAGGTTCTGGATTATTTTACAGCAACAGCCTGAAACTTTACTGTAAAATACGTCTGTTTGGGTTTATAGGGGAACTCAGGAAGACCGGGAGAAGAGGGAGAGGATGGAGATTCGGGATATTCTGGACACAAAGTGAGTTTAGGCCTCTGTCCCTCACTGGCAGCATCAGTCATGTAACATGACTGGTCTGGCAGAAATATCCGCTGGAGATCAGGCGAACCAAAGCTAACAGTTATTGTTCCCCCGTCTGTCTGCAGGGAGGCCGAGGTCCTCCTGGAAAGAGGGAAAAATCTGTAAGTCGTCCTTAAATCCTCACTCTGCTAACGTTAGCAGAAGGAACAGGAAGCATCATAATACAAACATGTCTGCTTTGTTTCAGGAGTGCGAACTGATCACCTACATCAGAGAAAACTGTGGTAGGTGAAATCAGAGAATCCAGAACTAGAAAGATTAGACCTGCAGTTAGGATCTAAATCTCCTTTTCTTCTTTCTTCACAGCTTGCTGTCACGGTACGTATGTTTCCAAGTTTACCAGCTGGAACAAAGTCAGTGAAGATATTTTTTTCTGTATCAAGTTATCATATGGCATTACCATTTAAAGTCGGGCATCCGCTGTACGATTTTTTAAATCGTTGCTCGCAGCTACAGCTCACACTGTACGGCGAAACCGCAGGGTTTTATAAGTTCACAGCTCACGATGATTGTTCTCACGCTGTGCGACCCGACGCTCTGATGCGATCTACCTGTTCACGCTACGTCTAAAAACCAGGTGGGTCTCAGCTCCGCAGTGAGATGGCGCTACTCGGACTCGTCTATCTGAAGCTCACTAGAGTGAAACGCGCTGCCTTGGATATTTGGGCGATTTAGTGCTGAAAGCCCTAAAAGAAAAGGAGACGACGTATTTGGACAAAGACATGGCTGAGCTAACGTGGCTACTACGGTCTGTCAGTTTGACAGAAAGAAATTCATTTCACTCATTGCCCCCCCGCCATGCTGCTGGGTTTTCCTCTGAGAGGAAGAAGAAGAAGACGAAACCTTGTTGCCCACTGAGCGATTTGCCCATGACCACCTTACGATGGCCGACTGAATTTCAAACATATTGATTTTCTCACGACCTTAAGATTCCTGATGGGGAGGCGATCGTTAGAGGCTGATCACCCCTCGTTACCCCCAGTTCACTACAACACGCTAGCCTCGTGAGACCATCCTAAAGTCGCGAGCTTTCAAGGTTTCACTCGCAGATCAGTCTGGAGACTCTCCGTTAAAGAAAATTTGGAGCCGTTCGCCAAACAAACGTCCAATCAGCGTTGGCATTGAGGCGGGTTGAGGTGTGACGCAACGAGAAGCGCGACAGTTCAGTCTAAAGAACATGGCGGCTTCAGCCGATGAAACTAGCGTTAGCGTGGCTATCGAGCAAGTTTTATCGGAATTACAGAGTATTTCTTCACTGAAAGAAGAGCAAAACACTGCTCTGGAGGCTTTTCTCAGAGGAAAAGATGTTTTTGCTCTTCTCCTGACTGGTTTCAGCAAGAGTTTGATCTATCAATTGGCTCCTCTTCGTCGTCGCTCTGTTAGTACGTCATATGCTTCGTTGATCTGATTGGTTTATTTGGCCCGTCTATCACCAACATAGGCCAATCAGCTAACCAGTATTTTCGCCCCTTCCAAAAATTACTTCAAAGGAAGGTTTTGCTCCGCATATCCATCTGGCGGAGTCAGGTTAACACCACGCACCATCAGGCTGAAAGTCAGCCCAATCAAAGATTTCTCGCACGACTTTAAAAGTCGTACAGTGTTTCCCCGACTTAATGACAAATATACTTAAGACACAGATCTCAAGATTCAAGAGCTCTGATGGGGACATACGGACCCTTAAGATCTCTGAGATTCGATAGAGCTTGATATAAACCCAACGAGCAAAAATTGGTTGAAAACATGACATGATTTATGTCCCAACAATGTCTACATTTGGTTGAAGGGTAAAAGGTAAAAAGCAGTAATTTTCACATCATTGCTGGGTTTGTAACGTCTTTTAAACGTCTATTATTGTACTTAAGTGGGATAAAATTAGATGGACCAAACAGCCTAATTTTCAACAACTATTTCTGGACTAAATCAAAGCTATGATAGACCAACCAGATTTAGCCTAAAAACCAAAATCTAAATGACGTCTGGTGTTTGGGGGGGATAGGGCTTTATGTGTGTGTTTCGCATTCAATAGGAGCTTGTTTGGACATTAGACCGCAGCAAGTTAAAACCAGCTCAATATTTGAAATGTTACTAATCACATTAATATAAAGATGAATCAACTGACAGGATTCAAGTAAGTCTAAATACTATCTGGGTAAAAGACTTCTGAAATCTTCTGAAAAGTGGAGCCGAGCTCCTGTGGTCTGACGTGTTGCTATGGTGCGTCCTGGTTGTCCATCATTGTGTCTGACTTGTCTTCAGCTGCCTAAATATGTTAAGAATCAGTTTTGTCTTAATTTGTTGGTGTAATGCTTGGTTTGTTGCCTAGAATCTCTCATCTAGTCCCCTTACTGGGTCCTACTTGTCCATTTTTCTATGGTTGCATTAGGGTTATTCACTCACCGGCCACTTTATTAGGTACACCTGTCCAACTGCTCGTTAACACTTAATTTCTAAGCAGCCAATCACATGGCAGCAACTCAGTGCATTTAGGCATGTAGACATGGTCAAGACAATCTCCTGCAGTTCAAAGCGAGCATCAGTATGGGGAAGAAAGGTGATTTGAGTGACTTTGAACGTGGCATGATTGTTGGTGCCAGAAGGGCTGGTCTGAGTATTTCAGAAACTGCTGATCTACTGGGATTTTCACGCACAACCATCTCTAGGGTTTACAGAGAATGGTCCGGAAAAGAAAAAACATCCAGTGAGCGGCAGTTCTGTGGGCGGAAATGCCTTGTTGATGCCAGAGGTCAGAGGAGAATTGCCAGACTGGTTGGAGCTGATAGAAGGGCAACAGTGACTCAAATAACCACCCTTTACAACCAAGGTGGGCAGAAGAGCATCTCTGAACGCACAGTACGTGGAACTTTGAGGCAGATGGGCTACAGCAGCAGAAGACCACACCGGGTGCCACTCCTTTCAGCTAAGAACAGGAAACTGAAGCTACAATTTGCACAAGCTCATGGAAATTGGACAATAGAAGATTGGAAAAACGTTGCCTGGTCTGATGAGTCTCGATTTCTGCTGCGACATTCGGATGGTAGGGTCAGAATTTGGCGTCTACAACATGAAAGCATGGATCCATCCTGCCTTGTATCAACGGTTCAGGCTGGTGGTGGTGGTGTCATGGTGTGGGGAATATTTTCTTGGCACTCTTTGGGCCCCTTGGTACCAATTGAGCATCGTTGCAACGCCACAGCCTACCTGAGTATTGTTGCTGACCATGTCCATCCCTTTATGACCACAATGTACCCAACTTCTGATGGCTACTTTCAGCAGGATAATGCGCCATGTCATAAAGCTGGAATCATCTCAGACTGGTTTCTTGAACATGACAATGAGTTCACTGTACTCAAATGGCCTCCACAGTCACCAGATCTCAATCCAATAGAGCATCTTTGGGATGTGGTGGAACGGGAGATTCGCATCATGGATGTGCAGCCGACAAATCTGCGGCAACTGTGTGATGCCATCATGTCAATATGGACCAAACTCCCTGAGGAATGCTTCCAGCACCTTGTTGAATCTATGCCACGAAGAATTGAGGCAGTTCTGAAGGCAAAAGGGGGTCCAACCCGTTACTAGCATGGGGTACCTAATAAAGGGGCCGGTGAGTGTATAAGCCTAAGTTTAACTTTTTTCTTCAGCCTTATTCCCCTCAGGTCAAACCCAGTGCCCGGCGTACCCCACAGAGCTGGTCTTCGGTCTGGACATGTCAGATGGCGTTACCTTAGCTGACTTTGACGAACAGCGGAGGATCATGCTGTCCATGTTGAGGAACATCACCATCGCTGAGAGCAACTGTCCAACCGGCGCTCGCGTCTCTGTGGTTGCATACAGCAGATACACCAAACACCTGATCCGTTTCCAGGAGCACCGCAGTCGCAAACATCTAATTGAAGCAATAGAGAACCTTGCTAAGGAACGCACCTCAGAACAGCCGCACCTCGGAGCCGCCATGTTATACGTGGGGCGGAATGTCTTCAAACATGTCCGGGCAGGGCAGTTGATAAGGAAAGTGGCTTTGTTTTTCACTAGCGGAGAGTCGCAGCAACCTGATGAAATAGTTGCTGCTGTGATGGAGTACCGAGCGCTGAACATCATCTCTGCCGTCATCTCTGCGAGGAACAATCTGGAGATCAGTCGAGCATTGGAGGTGGGTTTGATTTCCAGAGACAGTTTATGATGTCTGCTCAGAATATTTGGATGAATGAGGTCTGTAAGAGAACTGACGGCATACATTTGATTTCAAAAGCATCTTCAAGTGCATGAGAAGCAGAGAGAAACCACAAAGACGGAATATCAGTCTTCAGAATTAGGATTAAGAAACTAGGGAAAAGTTTTATATCCCGAATGGGAAGAGATTCAACGTTCAGATTGATCTTAGATACAAGCTTTTATATTTTTTTATTTTTTTGAAATAAAAAAGAGGCTCTGTGAGGGAAAACAGCCCTGCTCTGAAGCTTCCTGTAAAGCATCTAATTCAAGTTGTGGTCTTGACTCTTGGCAAATTAATTAATTCAACCATGTCTTACACAGTGGAAGGCAGCCAGGGACCCAAAACCATTTTGATAGCATATTGGTCAGAAGTTATCCAGATACTCAGGAGAATTCTCTAAATATAAAGCATAGGGCTAAATTTGAATTACTGGGATTCCAGGGGAATGGTGGCGACATAGAGCTTCGGCCTTAAGGTCTGCAGTACCTGTTGCCATGGTAACCCGAAATCCAATGGTGGACAGTTGCAGTAAAGACCTTCTATGACTCTGTTGTGGCATCAGCCATCTTCTATGGAGCTGTCTGTCGGAGCAGTAGCTTATCTGTAGCTGAGAGGAAGTGGCTGGATCAGCTGATCAGGAAGGCCAGCTGTGATTGGATGCCTTCTGGACTCCCCCCCCCCCATGCATGAAGCTGGTGCTGAACTGGAGAGCTCCTTCAGTGACAGACTGCTGCGCCCTAAATGCTTGTTTATGCTCAGAAACCAGGTTGTCTGCGTGTGTCGCTGTTAATGCAGATATGCCCCGCCCCTTCCGCAGACACTCTCCTGGACCTCTCCAATATTGTAGGTGACCACAGACAGGAGGCCTCTGATTGGTCAAATCTACATCCTCTCTACTCTATGCGTATTTCCTGTTTGGTTCCTTACCGGCTTGTTTTGTTTGTCTGACCGCCATTGTGGAAAACGACTGGTGAAGATGGAGCAGCTAGCAGAGCGAGGTGTGTGAGAACGCTGGGACCCTTTTTCCACCTGGATCCCCGCTCTTTTTAGCCCTCATGTCCCTCCATTGTCGCACAAACCTGCCCTTCCTCACCGCCTCGGCCGTATCTAGACCCACAGCTAGTTCCTGATTGGCCCTCTGGCATTGTACATGGAATAACATAGCGCAGACCACGCTTCAATATTGGGCATAAATGAAAAACATCTGCAACACACTGCTGGGGGAGGATAACCAGGCCTTAAACGCACCAGGGAGCGTTATCACAGATCCTTCCTCCCAGCAGCTGGAAGACTCTAGAACCACCACTGTTCCCAACAACCTCAATCAGTTCTTCCATTCATGCTGATGCTATTTTCAAATATTCATGACCGTAAAAATGTCCATAGCTGCATATTGGTTATTTATTCTCCAGGTGCTCAGTTTTATATTGTATCTCTTTTAACTCTTCCCTTTTGTTACTCTTATGCATTTTTCTAAGATCCACATTTGTGTGACCATTTCTTTCAATTATCTTTTTGCTGGAGTAAAAAACAGAATTTCCCCATTGACAATAAAGGGATTTTTCTATTAAATTCTATTATCTTACTGCTGTTAAAGGAGAAATGTTCTCAAAAAGTCAATAGCTGTGTTGTCCCAAAGACCCTTTAGCTTTTAAACACTTAATTTCTATCTAGTTTGATTTTTCTTTTCACTTCTAGCTGCAGTTTTTTAACCTGACTCCACCAGATGGATTTGCTCTGCATATCCATCTGGAAACCTTCCGTTGAAGTAATTTTGGGAAGGGGCGAAAATACTGGTTAGCTGATTGGCCTATGTTGGTGATAGACGGGCCAAATAAACCAATCAGATCAAAGAAGCATATGAAGTACTAACAGAGCGACGACGAAGAGGAGCCAATTGATAGATCAAACTCTTGCCGAAACCAGTCGGGAGAAGAACAAAAACATCTTTTCCTCTGAGAAAAGCCTCCAGAGCAGTGTTTTGCTCTTCTTTCAGTGAAGAAATACTCTGTAATTCCCATAAAACTTGCTCGATAGCCACGCTAACGCTAGTTTCATGGGCTGAAGCCGCCATGTTCTTTAGACTGAACTGTCGCGCTTCTCGTTGCGTCACACCTCAACCCGCCTCAAAGCCAACGCTGATTGGACGTTCGTTTGGTGAACGGCTCCAAATTTTCTTTAACGGAGAGTCTCCAGACTGATCTGCGAGTGAAACCTTGAAAGCTCGCGAGATCAGGATGGTCTCACGAGGCTAGCAGTTTTTGGCAGCTTAACATTATCTTCATCCTTGATGCAGAAGAGCTGATATTAATGAAAATGAATCTGGTGGTTCTAAGCTTTATTCACGGTTTTTTTAAGAGGTCTAGTTCAATTTGAAGTTCCCTCTTAAATGGAAATGAGCTGAAGATAATAGAAGCTTCTGTTTTTCCTCTCAGATTGATGACTCTGGTAACTCAATTTTCTCTCTGAGGAGGGAAGGGGACTTGGAAAAAGTCAAGAACTGTGCCATCTGTTACGGTAAGCCTTATTTTAAACAATAATACTGTTGAATCTGTGACGATGATTGTAAATCAGCTGCTTGTTGCTTGCAAAGCAAATTGTATTGATTGTAGTTATTGTAAATGTCACAAAGGAGGTGGTTGTTGGACAGGACCCAAATGCAGACAAAGCTTGAGCAGGCTACTTGAATGTTTTTTTAACCAAAAGTTCAACAAAAGCAAAAATCCAAAACATAAATCCACAAAAATCCAAAAATGCTCAAAGCTAAGAATTCTCACAACCAGAAGGGCACAAAGTAAAGACGACAAACCAGCCAAGACTGACTGAAGAGGAGGAGAATAAATGAGAGAGACAAACAAAGACCAGACTAATTAGCAGATTGGGAGCAGGTGTGAACAGAGGAGGCAAGAAGGGAGCTGGGGAAAAGGAGACTGACCCAAGAGGGCAGAGATGGCAAAAGTACTCACTTTCCGTACTTGAGTAAAAGTACAGATACTTGTGTTAAAAAATACTCTGATAAAAGTAACAAAGTACTGATTAAACTTCTTTACTCAAGTAAAAGTAACAAAGTACAGGCTTGTAAATTTACTTAAAGTATAAAAGTAAAAGTAGAAACCTCTTTTTTCATGCCGTTGCCTACATTTTAAATGGATGTCTGCCAATAGGACTAGATCTCCGTTGTGTTCATTTTCAATCATGTCGTCGTCCATGCTACTATGCTAACGCCACCGCCACCAAGCTGCAATGATTTGCCGCCAATGAATACCGCCGAATCTGTCGATTATTACTGGCTGTAGTACTGCCGTATTCTCTGGACTATAAGCAACTTTTTTCCCACGCTTTGAACCATGCCGCTTATAAGAAGGTGTGGATTTTATCTGTCAGAGGGGAAGTCAAAGTTGATAGCATACGGGGCTAATTTCTTTCAGCGGAACATACTAGCAGCAGGCACAATGGAGAACAAACAATGCAAAAACAATCTAGAAAATAAGTAAAAATTTCTTGATTTAATTGTATTTACCCTTAATTTGAGTAGGAAAATAAGTTTGCCAATGGAATGAGTAGTTTTACTCTTAGAATAAGATAATTAGACAATACGCATTTGACATAAGACGATGCAATTTTTTTCTTTATTTTTAAAGTTAATAATTTTGTTCCACAGGAGAAGTGTCAATTCAAGGAAAATGCATTTATTCTAAGAAAAAAAATATTTATTTAGATTAAAATGTTTTGCAATGAATGTCCCTAATTCAAACATTTGATACTTATCTGCCGCATTAAAGCTGCAGAAGAGCTGCAGAGCTGAAATAAAGAGCTGGACGAAGCCCCATCTTTCAGCAGAAGCTCTTACTACTGTGAGCCAACAAGCTAATGGGAGCTAGTGTTCTTCTTAGTCCCTACTCCAGGGGCTACATATAGCCTGTATATGTATATATATATATATATATATATATATATATATATATATATATATATATATATGCTTGGCTATAAGATAAACACCACAGGCCACAAAGCAGAGCCCCCATGGAGAAGAAGGCTGGAAGCCAAGATCAAGGCAACACGAAGAGAGGTTAGTCAGCTCTCAGACCTGCAGAAAGGTGTAGGGAAGAGGTTACCTAAGTACAACAAGCTGTCGATTCCTGAGGCTCTGGAAACTGCCAAACAAAGACTCGCCGCCCTGGCCACCCGCCTAAAGAGATACAAGGGAGAAGCAGAAGCCAGGAGAATAAACCAGGTGTTCTCCACCAACCCATCCAAAGTGTACTCACAGTGGCAGGGTAATTCAAGATCAGATCCACCCAGGGCTGAGACTGAACAGTACTGGAGAAACATATGGGAGAAGGCGGCATCCCACAACACCAATGCTCAGTGGCTCGAAGACCTAAGAACAGATCACAGCAATCTCCCAGAACAAGAACCAGTAACCATTACAATGGCAGATGTCCAAGAAAGAGCGGCAGGTATGAAGAGCTGGACAGCACCAGGCCCTGACATGATCCACACCTACTGGCTGAAAAAACTAACCGCACTTCATGCACGCCTCGCAGCACAAATGAACCAACTGCTGATGGATGGGACCCACCCAGAATGGCTAACCCAAGGATGGACAATCCTGATCATGAAGGATCCGCAGAAGGGAACAACCCCATCCAACTACCGGCCAATAACTTGCCTATGTACAACATGGAAGCTCCTGTCAGGCATCATAGCGGCTAAGATGAATAGGCACATGGCTCAATACATGCACCCTGCCCAGAAGGGAATAGGAAGCAACACCAGAGGAGCCAAACACCAGCTACTAGTGCATAGAGCAGTCACCCGAGACTGTAAGACCAGGCAGACAAATCTGTGCACTGCCTGGATTGACTATAAGAAAGCCTATGACTCAATGCCACATACATGGATACTGGAATGCCTGGAAACGTACAAGATCAACAGGACTCTAATAGCCTTCATCAAGAACTCAATGAAGCTGTGGAAAACAAGTCTGGAAGCCAATGCAAAGCCAATAGCAATAGAACCGAGGGGGTTGAACTACCAGAAGGCCACATAACAGATGTTCAGGACAGCTACAAATACCTTGGGGTGCCACAGGCTAACGGAAACCACGAGGAGATGGCAAGAAAGACTGCCACAGCTAAATACCTACAAAGAGTAAGGCAGGTCCTGAAAAGTCAGCTGAATGGGAAAAACAAGATCCAAGCCATCAACACATATGCCCTACCAGTCATCAGATAACCCGCTGGTATAATAAACTGGCCAAAGGAGGAGATAGAGGCTACTGACATCAAGACGAGAAAGCTCCTCACAATGCATGGAGGGTTCCACCCCAAATCCAGCACTCTGAGACTGTACACCAAGCGTAACGAGGGAGGCCGAGGGCTAGTGAGTGTCAAGACCACTGTCCAGGATGAAACAACTAAGATCCAGGAGTACATCAGAAAGATGGCCCCCAAAGACAAATGGCTTGGTGAGTACCTCAGGCAGGAGAAAACCGAAAGTGAGGACAAGAAAGAGGAAGGAGAACCATCATGGAGGGACAAGCCGCTGCACGGCGTATACCACAGACAAATAGAAGAAGTGGCTGATATCAAAAAATCCTACCAGTGGCTGGAAAAGGCTGGACTGAAGGACAGCACAGAGGCACTAATCATGGCAGCACAAGAACAGGCACTCAGTACAAGATCAATAGAGGCCAGGGTCTACCACACCAGGCAGGACCCCCGATGCAGACTGTGCAAAGATGCCCCTGAAACAATACAGCACATAACAGCGGGGTGTAAAATGCAGGCAGGAAGTGCATACATGGAACACCACAACCAGGTAGCTGTCATAGTGTACAGGAACATCTGCCATGAGTATGGGCTGGAAGTCCCAAGGTCAAAATGGAAGACACCTCCTAAGGTAGTTGAGAATGACCGAGCTAAGATCCTATGGGACTTCAAGATCCAGACTGACAAACAGGTGATAGCTAACCAACCAGACATCGTGTTGATCGACAAACAGCAGAAGAAGGCAGTAGTGATAGATGTGGCAATCCCAAGCGACAGCAACATCAAGAAGAAAGAACACGAGAAGCTTGAGAAATACCAAGGACTGAAGGAGGAGCTAGAAAAGATGTGGAAAGTAAGAGCAGCAGTGGTGCCAGTGGTAATTGGAGCACTGGGGGCTGTGACCCCCAAACTGGGAGAGTGGCTACAGCAGATTCCAGGTAAAACATCAGAGGTCTCTGTCCAGAAGAGCGCAGTCCTAGGAACAGCTAAGATACTGCGCAGAACCCTCAAACTCCCAGGCCTCTGGTAGAGGACCCGAGCTTGAGGATGACACATACCACCCCACGAGGGGTGAGAAAACAGTTTTTTTTTTGTTTTGTTTTTATACATATACAGGCAGACTAGATTTTGGTCCAGAGGAGCAAAGGAACGGACTGTCACTGGGCTTTACAGAGGTGGGCTTGAACGGCTCAGATGAAGGTTTTCCCTTGCTCAGAGAGAGACGAATATTTTCCTTCCAAGGGAGGAGAAGGACCAGGCTTATCCAGCGGATTAGGAGAGTTTCCTACTGGAGAACACAAAAAGAGACAAAGGCAAAGCTTAGGCTCAGAGAGACAAAGGCAAAGAGTTAGACTCAGCCAATCTCAGGTAGCTAGAGTACCCAATACTGACAAGCACTCTGACGTCGAGGTGGTGACAGTCCGTTGCTCTAATACTCCTCTGGTAATGACCCAACAAGCCGCAGGTGAGGAGGAAAAACCCGGCCCTCCAAGCCAGAACAGGGAAAGGGCACCATCTGGAGGTGGAAACAAAAGACAAAAAACAAACCCCACAAACAGAAACCTAACAGGAGCAGGTGGTTCAACAGAGCTATGGCTCTCGGTCAGTTTGGCAACTGGATAAAAAAAAAAATCTAGGATAATAGTAATGAGGAGAAATATGCCGCTCTGGCTTTATGAAGTGTAATTTTATACAAGCTGTTTTTACATAGTAGAATTCCCATAGGCATGTAGAGCAAAAGGAACTTATATAGATAAAAAGCACAGGCTTAAACTTAGCTATCTGATCTTCATATATTTCCTCTGTTTCATCAGATCCTTGCATACGTCCAACGGAGTGCTCCTTCATCCAGAATACGTTGCCCCCTAAGCAGGTAGATGTGGACCTGGCTATAGTTGTGGACAGTTCCAGGAACATGCAGGCGGATGAATACGCTGGTGCCAAACAGCTGCTGAGTTCTGTGGTGGAGCAGCTGGTGGTAAGTCCTCAGCCCCGCAGACCCGGAAACCAGGCTCGCATTGCTGTGGTCCAGCAGAGCGGCACCAAGGAGGCCAGGGTGGAGTTCGACCTGCAGACCTACCAGGGTCAGGCTGGAATGAAGCAACACCTGATGGAGAAAATGCAGCAGCAGAGCGGTGCCTCGATTTTGGGACAAACGCTTGACTACACCCTAAAGGAGGTGCTGCAGAAGGGTGCCCCGCCCCGTAGAAGAAGGGCTCTACTGGCCGTCGTCGCCTCCCGAACAGAGAACAGAGACCGAGACTGGCTGCGGTACATCTCCCTGAAGTCCAAGTGTGAGGGCGTGGCCATGTTTGTGGTGGCAGTCGGTGATCGGTACAACCAGACCCAAGTGAGGGAGATGGCTGGTCTACCTACCCGTCAGCACCTGGTCCGAATCAGCCGGCTTGAGACCCAGGAGCAGGGCTACGTTCAGCGCTTCTTCAGAGTCTTCCTTTCTGTCCTCAGCAGTAAGAGAAACTTCAGCAGGAATTTTCTTCTTAGCATTTAAAATCAGTTGCATTCGGTTTTTATTTTGTTCAGCGTATCGACAACATCCTAATTCACCACACCATATCTCACTTTGAAGAGAAAATTCAATCCAATCATAGAATCAGACTAACTTTTCTATAGAAGGAAAACCAGCTGATTTCATTGATTCATTACCTTTGCTGAATTCATTTTTTTTTCTCTATTTCAGAGAACCTGAACCCGTATCCTCCTGCTTCAATAAAAACAGAGTGCAACCAGCTTACCGAACCTGAGGACTTCTTCTTTGGGTAACTCATTCTAAACTTTAATTTTTAAACCTAATGCTAAACTAAATCAAAAACACATGATTTACACTCAGAATATAAACTCAAATTGGCCTTTTTTTTTGGAAGTCCTGCACTCAAATCTGAGTTTAGACGCAACAAGGCTGCTGCTGTACAGCTTAAACAGTGAAGCAGTAAAAGGATTATTGACGGTTTAGACTGGTTGGGTTACATTAAACCAGAGTCACAAAGAAAACTAAGATCTCTTTGTGGGAATGTGGCTTTGCTAACTCTATTTACTTTGGATTGTTAATGCTAGTTTTACAAGCATAAAACAGTAAAATAGTTAGCGTGGTTAGTTGATGAATTGCATTTCCTGCAAAAGTTTTCTAAACTACAAGCTGTAAGATGGAAATAGTACAAACTGTTAAAGAAAGAATGGAATAAAGAAGAAGAAGCAAAGGACAGTGTCAGGATTTGGTTATTGAGTGTTGACCCAAAAGCAGAGGCAGAGGTGAATCTGTTGTGGATTTAATAATGACTTAACAGAAAACAGCGGCTGGTTATCCAAAAATCCAAAAGGAAAACAAAGTCCAAACAAACATGAAACCAGAAGTCAAAAAATCAAAAACATTAAAACAAGTCTAACGTACCAGAAACCATGGGGACATCAGGGGAATCACAAACATAACGAAGAAGGCACAGAGAGAAGGAGGACCCAGCAAAGGGGAACGGAAGAGAGAGGGCTTTTAAAGGAGACAGACAAAGAGGGGGCTAATGAGGAAACTGGGAGCAGGTGTGCACAGAACAAGAGAAGGAAAGAGCTAGGGAAGAAGGAGAACACAAGAGGGCAGCAGAGAGCAACAAATAGAAACCTGGAAGACTGGAAATAACAACAAAATGATTAGGACTAGGACAATAAAACATGGAGAAAAGAAAACTAAACACTCAAAAGAAAAAATAACAGAACCCAGACTAGGACAGTAACTGGAAAAAAACAAAGAACACAGCAAGGAGTGAAGCAAGACTGAATACTATAACAGAAACCTGACAGACAGAATTAAAAATAGCAAAAGCTTGATGCGTGGATGGATGGATAATGGATGGATGGACTCATATTTGGCAGGTGCTGCGTTGCTATGGAAACACACTCACCCTAAATGCAGCATGTCACTTCCTGTAAATGAATGGAGAGACTTCCTTGGAACAGCAGTCCATGATTCTGGAAATGCAAGAGATATTGACGTCAATCTTTGACCGTTTAATTCAGATCAGATTGAAGAACAATATTTAGGGGGCTGATTTTTTTTAAACAAATTTTAAAGGCACGGCATATTGGAAATAAAGAGATATTTAATAAAAATTAATACGTTTATGTTGAACTATTCTTAATAAACTTCATAACAAAAAGTCTAGAAGGTTCAGAGATGACTGTTTTACCGTATTATTCAGCAAACTTAGGAAAAACGCTTATGACCGCCTTCATGTTTCTATAAAAAATAATGAGATCAGGGGTGAAAACAAGGTTTAAAAGATTTAATTCTGAGGCTGTTTTCTGCCAAAGATATTTTTGATACCCCCCAAAAGAGCCCAGCTCCTCAGCCAAACCATAAATGATATAAAAAAATTCCTTCAGAGTGAGTGCTACAAAGGCCTGGAAATGATCTTTGCCTCGTAGCGGTGATTCATTTTATGTTCTTTAGGATTGTGACGCGTTCCCCTGGTTGTTTGCATACAAATGCTCATAACTTTGTTATAATAAGGTGTATTGATCTCATTTTGGCATCGATATTTTCAGAACAAAGAGAGGAACAACATTTTACACTGCAAAACGATCTAAAAATAAGTAAAAATGTTTTAAGTGTATTTACCCTTAATTTTAGCGGGTAAATAAGGTGATTTGCTAATGGAATGAGTATTTTTACTCTTGAAATGAGACAATGAAATCGTTTTCTCTTATTTTAAAATTAAATTGTCTTGTTTCATTGTCAAAGTGTCTCCCTTTCCTCCTCAATACAAGAAAAAATGCATTTTAAGAGAGAAAAATATGACTTGTTTAGATTTAAACTTTTTGTAGTATAGGGATGTTTATGCAGAAAATGTTTTTAAAAAGACACAATGGTAGAAAAAAGGAAAAGAAATTTAGAATTTTTTTCAAAATGGTCAAAGATTGTGCTTCTGGAATGTTGGAGATAAAACTTAACTCAGATAGATAGCCTGAGCGGCTCCATAGAAAGTAGGTCAGCAGTCAAACAGGAAGTGAACATGATATGGCCCGCCCCCACCAGTGCCTGCTTATCTTTTTCATGTGGGATTAAAATGTCCAGTCCCAATTAACAATAACACCAAGCTGTTTTTGTTTTTTTTATGTTACTAGGCAGCCAGTTCCCTGGTGTTATGCTTCATCTTGTTTCTGTGTGTTGCTGCAGGGAGGACTTTGCATCTGGACAGCAGGAGCTGCTCGCTGATGAGGCTCAAACAGGACAGTCGATTCCAAGGCCGCAGCAGGAAGAGATTCCCAACGTTCTGAGGGGGGGTTCAGCTTCAGGATCTCAGCTTAGAGGTACGGACCAAACTCTGAAAAAATTAAACTTTTCCCAGATTATAACAAAAAGTGACAATAGATAATAAAGAATGTAATGTAGATAATAAAGGCAATAGATAATAAAGAATGTTTCATTTTCTGGCTGTGTGTGTGTGTGTGGGGGGGGGGGTCTTTACAGCTAGATGTTCAAATGAGATTTGAGGTCCTGTTGTTTGGAAGGCATCTAAACAAAAGCTTTAACCCAGTTTTAGTCTGAGGTTAAAAACGACAACTCAAAGTTGTTCACCTTACTAAGATTTTTGCATTCACTGACAATAAAATGGGCTCTATGCACAGCTCCACTACTTCCTGAATTTAAGGCAGCTCCTTTGTTTCCTGTCTTTCATTACTGGACGAACTGATTAATCCAGGTGTGTCTAGCCAGTTACTTAGGTCATACACACCTGGATTAATCAGTGCATCCAATCATGAAAGACAGGAAACAAAGGAGCTGCATTAAATTCAGGAAGTAGTGGAGCTGTGCATAGAGCCTATTGCCAGTTGGAACTTGAACTGTCTGTTGTGAGCCAGTTGAACTCACTTTCATAAGTTTCTGCTGAAAAGTTCATCTTATTCTATAAATTAAGTTGAGTTTAGTTTGAAGTTGTAGTTGATACCTAGTCCGAGCGAGGTTAACTTATCTGCGCATGCTCATTTCAAATTTGTCATGGCAACCGGCTGCTACGGGGTTTCCATGGATTTTCCCAGGGGCTCCCTTCTAAAGTTTGCATCAGCAATCTGGTCACTCTGCTGGCGGTAACCATTTTCAGCTGCAGATTTACACAATTGTGAATACTTAGGCACTGGTTTCCTGTCATCTCTGGCAATATTGCATTATTTGTAAGGTTTTAACAGGAGTTGGAAAGTAAAAAAAACCTGAAACCTGATTTGCTTTAAGCATAAGATTAATTGTTTACATTGTGGAATTGTAAACCTGTTTTTGCCAAAGTGGTTCAAATAAACATGCAAAATTTAACTGGTTTACTGTCAGTGGATGATTTAATGTGGTGGGGGGGGGGGATTTAAACTAAAAAATGTAAGTTATTACAGGGGATGGTAATCTGAATTTAAAATAACTTTTTACAGATAATCTGAACTTCAAATAATAAGTTTTTACAGACTTGAAAGTTCCAGTAACTTGAATCAAAAAAACTTAGCTGACACAACTTAATAAGTGTAGTTCTACAAAACTTAAAAAATTAAGTTGATGCCTTCAACTCAAAAATTCTGTGCAGTCGGTTGCCTTGAAATTTTGAGTTGAACTAACTTTTTCGTTTTTACAGTGTATCACTAAGTCATTATTTAAACCCAGGGCTGTTCCAGTTCCAGCTCCATGGCCCGCTTGTCCATCAGGCTGTGGGTCTTTCCCAGCCAGGGTGTCTCCTTCTGCTGGACGACTTTCAACAGGTTTCTGTCCAATCAGAGCCAGAGGAGCACAGAGACACGCCCAAACTTTAATGCAGTCAGTAGATGTCAACCCAGAATAGTTCTGAGACCAAAAGGACAAAAACTCTGCTGACATAAAGACATTTCACTTGATCATGAAAAATATAAATAAATGAAAATTTAAAACGCACAGACAGAAAAACTAAATCTGTTGTTCTCCTGGTGCAAAAACAATGAATAAAACATAAAAAATTAGTAAAAATTTCCTACGATAGTTTTTCCTCAACTCCACTGATGCTAACTTTTCTAACACGCAAACATTTAGACTGCAAAAACAATCTAGAAATAAAGATTTCCCTAAATTAAAGGGGAACATTGTTTTTTTTTACATTGACCCCTTCATTTTACGTCATACAAACTTTGTTTAAAAAAAATATAAATATAAAAATTATAACCGTGGATGTCTGGGGGACAGTGATACGCTTACATGTTATGAATGCTGGCGGACCATAAAGAATAAATGATGAACAGTTCAGTTTGTGTTTAATGATCTCAGAATGTTGGACCCAGAATCCGAGGCGAGACAGGCAGCGGGAAAGTTCACAGCGTTTATTAAATCAAACTGGAGCGCGGGCCGGATCTCTGCAGAGACAGGAGAATGCAGGTCAGTGACTGGATGTGGAGCTGAATGCGACTTGGAGCAAAGTCACTGACCTGATTCAAAGTTCAGTCCGTTCCCGCAGAACTCAGCTGAATCCAGACGGGAGGTTAGACCGCAGCTTACGGCGGGTGCCGCCCCCAGATTTTTTATAGAGCGAGCGGAGCAGGCGCTAGCCGACGCCGCGCAGCAATCGACTATAAGCTACTACCAGGCGACTATATTTACTAGTCCGACTGCCGTCAGCAGGATACCACGCTCCAGCTTGCTTGACGTTGCCATGACAACGTAACCTCAAGACCTCAAAATAATTAAATGAAAATCAAATTACACGTAATGGTAAAATAAAAAGGAGCAAAAAAAAAATTTCCCAAAATATTCTTAAAAAATTTATATATTGTGCAAAGTATTTTTTATCTCCCTCTCACCACCAGGGGGTGCTGCAGTTTCCAAGTTTGATGACGTTTTGCTTCCCATCCAGGAAACTTTTTAAATTAAATGACGTCTATTTCTATTTGCATGTTTTCTAAACTAAAACAACACTGGAAAAAAATCGAAATCTACATAAGTCATTTTTTTCTTTAAATAAGTGCATTTGTTCTTGGATTAAGGACGTAAAAGAGACATTTTGCCAATGGAGCAAGACAATTTAGATTTAAAATAAGAAAACACAGTTGCATTGTCTTATTTCAAGTGCAAATTATCTACTTATCTTATTTTAAGAGTAAAAATACTCATTCCATTGGCAAACTATCTCATTTACCTAATTAAAATAAGGATAAATACTCTTAATTTAGGAAAATCTTACTTATTTCTAGATTGTTTTTGCAGTGAAGGCTTTGTTGGGCTGCTGGATAAAACCTGGAACTCAACGCTATTTCTGACATTTTGAATTTAAAAATCTTAGTTCTTCAGCGATCCGGATCTTATTATTCTGTTTATGCATTTGCAGGACGAATCGTGCTTCCTGGTAGTGACAGGATGACCAATCAGAGCTCAGTTAGTGACTCCACAGAGCTGACCGACGTTCCTGCCTGCATTCCTCTGACCTTTTCCTTCTCTCTCCCGTCTAGATGTTTGTTTCCAGCATAAAAAAAGCGGCAGCTGCAAGAACTTCACCTTTATGTGGTTCTACAACAGCAAGAACGCCGGATGCACCCGCTTCCTCTACAGCGGCTGTGGAGGCAACCAGAACCGCTTCAAGACCAGGGAGGAGTGTGAGGACACGTGTCTGAGGAAGACTTAAGGAGGAACATTAGCTGGAAACTTCTAGATGCTGTTGGAGAAACCAAATGTTCTTCACTGAGGCCAAGAACCACAGAGTCTCAGGAGGAGTTTATTTTTTTATGCTGCAGCTGCAGCTGCAAACAGAGGACGTTCGTTTTTTTTTTTTGGGGGGGGGGGGGGGGGGGGGGGGGGGGGGGGGGGGGGCTTTATGTTAACTACAATCTTACCTCTCTGTCCAAAGACCACACATTTTTTAAACCAACCAGGAAATGAGTCACAACCACACAGCAAAAAATTGAATCTAGATAAGTCATTTACTCTTAAAATAAGTGCACTTTGCCAAAGGAAGACAACAATTTACATTTAAGATAAAAATAGCTACTACATTGTCTGTTTTTAAGTACATTTTATCCAATTATCTTACTTTAGGTATCGGGCTGCAACTAACGATTATTTTACAAATTGATTAATGTGTTGATTATTTTTTCGATTCATCGATTAATGATCGGATAGCCAAAGATTCCTTCAAGAAAACTAAAACTTTTCCACTTGCACTGCAAAACATAGAAATCTAAATAAGTCATTTTTTTTTGCAATAAGTTCATTTTCTCTTGAATTGAGGACATAAGTGAGACATGTTGCCAATGGAACAAGACAATTTACACTTAAAATAAGAAAACTCAATTACATAGTCTTATTTTAAATGGATATTATCTAATTATCTTACTTTAAGAGTAAAAATCCTCATTCCTTTGGCAAACTATCTCATTTACCTACTCAAATTAAGGGGAAATACTGTTAATTTAAGACATTTTGACTTATTTTTAGATAATTTTTGCCATGTGAGGAGTTCTGGATAGAGAAAAATCTTTTCATTCTAAATGCAAAATGGATTTTTTGTTTACAATTTTGGTCTGTAAGTTTTAGAGTCTCTACACTTCATTCAACGATTAATAAATTAATAAATTGGTGGACAATTATTTCAATAATCAATTAAGCTGATGAATTGATTCAGCCATAATTTAAAGAGTAAAAATATTCATTCCATTACTAACTGATCTAATTTACTTACATGAATTAAAGGTAAATACACTTCATTTAAGAATGTTTTAGTTATTTCTAGGTCGTTTTTGCAGTGTGATGTTTTTCATTGTTGTCTTGAAACGAGACAAACGGAGCCTTAATGACTGATAGTAAAACAGTTTGTTGTTTATGTTGGTTTTAAAAGACGCCATGATTTGATCCATATGAATGCTTGGTACTGATCAGTGTTAATATGTTTCACTGTTGGTTTAAATCAGTTTGTTTCCTTTATCTGAAGCTCAAAGCCTCCTGGAAGGATTCAGTCCTGATCTTTCCCACATTCGCTCCTATATGAACTAAAAACTTTAACAGATTTTATCCAAACGACCAACATCAGGGAGGGCACAGCTGTAAACCAAAAAAAGAACTTTTGCTTTTTTCACCAATAAAGACTGAAAAGTGTGGCATGTGTTTGTATTTTTTCTTTACAACTTAAATACCCCTAAATAAACCAGGCGTCATCAGACGTCACCCAATCAGTGAACACTGATTTAATTAATCAATCAATCAAGAGCTGCTGTTGGACAAACGGACTGGACCGAGGACGGGGTCTCCGATTCGGGAAGAAGCGTAACCAAGGCAAGAAGTCTTCCATTCCGCTGAGCCAAAACGGTAACATCCATCTTTCCTTCTTTCCATCTGTGTCATGTTGGGGTTTAATCTTCTAACCCACATGCAGAAACACTCCTAGACAGGGAAAAAGGTTCAAATTAGGGATGCAGGATATTGGGATTTTGGCCGATATGCCGATATTTTAAAACTCATGTAGCCGATAACCGATATCGATACCGATGTTAAAGCTGGACAAAAATAAGTAGTCATTGAAAATAGCAGTTTTGTTATCCATTTCTGACACTTTGAAAAATAATAAACTCAAATATATTTTCATATGCTGATATCAAATAGATTTTTAAAAACGCGGTATCGATCTATTTTACTTTCAAAATCTGGTGAAATTTCATCGTTCTGTTACAAACTCTCGTGATATTTTGCAAATTCTTGTGAGATTTCGTTAGTAAAATAGATCGATACCGCGTCAATATATCAACATATAAAAATATGGCAACATTTGGTGAATTTTCGGGGGATTTCGTAGCATAACGATGACATATAGCAATATTTCATTAGTAAAAGAGATTGATATGGTGTTTTTAAATGGCAATATATCAGCATATGAAGATATTGGGATATTTTAATGGATCAATATTTTTTCCCTCGTCTTTAGAAGTTTTTAAGTCTGTAAAAAAGAAGTTTTTGAGGAAGAAGAAGAAGTAGTATATTTTTTTTTAGACTTTAGAAACTCAGAAGTTGATCAAATATCGGGTTAAATATCAGTGGGGGGGCCGATGTCCGATATTCAGTTTTAAGGCCGATACCGATAGGGGGCCCATTATATCGTGCATCACTAGTTAAAAGGTTTATTGACAATGTTTTCAGAGAAATGTGAACGGGGTCTTGGTTCGTCAGGCTGGTCACAGGAGGGAAGCAACTAGAGGAGGACAGATTGGTTAGAGTGGATCCAGGAAACTTGCTGCTTAACGGAGGTTTGGGTTTATACCTGTCCAGGGGGTATTCTGACCGGCAGGGGGGGAACCTTGAGGGTCTAGAGGCTGAGGCAGATTCCAGGCAGATTCCAGGCAGCGAGAGTTTTCTCCAGGAGTTGACAGATTACCGGATATGTCAGGATCTGAGAGGCAGAAGAACACAGAGTCAGAGAGGTTCTCTAAAAAATCAGGAAAACAGATCAGAGTAGCTGGCTCAGGTTTGCTGGTTCCATTACTGGCAAACACTCTGGCAGGGAAGTGTCAGCCTCCTCCTCCTTAAGAAAGCCTCCAGATGAGCAGATGGAAAACAGGTGTGCAGAAGTCAGCTCACGCCCTCAGGAGGAAGATCTCAGGCTCCCTCTGGTGGAGAAAGGTGACAAGCCTCCAGATCCCAACAATCTGATGCTCAATAGGTGCTCTGCTTGGGTGAAGCAGGTAGAACAGATAGTTGAGTTTGTGTTTTGTGGACCGGCTCATTCCAGCCACATTGTAGAGGCCTCATCTTAGCTCTAATTTCCTCTTTGTTTCAGCTGGACCCGGATAGACTGGACCTGCTGAGAGGGACCAGTTTCTCTATAAGCTTTATTACAGTTTAATACATTTCTAAGTCATTGTTCATTTTTCACTGTAAAACCCCCAAAAATCTTCACTGTTTTGATTGCATTTATTATCTATGCATTAGGGTTAATTAACATTCCTTCTGCTATTTTAAAGGACACTTTAAATCATTAAGCCTTAAAACTTGAACATTCTTCAGAGACTCTTGAATGGACTTTTTAGCCTGTTTAGTTTTTTTAGTTGTGCTTATTTCTGTGGTGTTTTAGCGTTTGCATAGTTAATAGATTGTGAGGCGAGTGATGGCCTAGCGGTTAGGGCATTGCGTTTGGGTCCCAGACATTCTGAGATCGAGCCCCCCTCCCACAGACTGCCACTCTGGGTCCCTAAAGATCCTTAACCCCACACTGCTCCCCGGGCACCGCACAATGGCAGCCCCCTGCTCCCCAAGGTGATGGGTTAAAACCACTTGTAACAGTTTAATGACAGCAACATTTAATTCCATTCTAGATACAATAATTCTAGGTACAATAATGCTGTGATTTGGGATTTTTAGCTAATAAAGGAACCATTTTATCCCATGGTCTTGTTTGGTTATGTTATACAGTGTGTTAGGACTCCAGTCTGTGTGGTCTGTGTTTTTGTTCTTCCTTCCTCCACCAGGTGGTGCCTGGTTCTGATTCTCCTCCTCACACACCTGCAAGGGGTTACCTCGTTAACGGAGTGTTCTTAAGCTGTTGACTGTCACTACTTCGACGCCAGAGTGTTTGCCAGTTTTTGGTACTGAGTTTTGCTGAGTCAAACTGAGTTTTTCTCAACCTGAGTCTTAACGTTGTTATTTTTTTGTTTTTGCCTCTCAGCAGGAAGTCATCCTGCAAACTGGATTTTCGGACCTTCTTTCCGGAGGTTTGGATCCACTTTCCCCCGAGAATTCGTTTTGAGTTTCACACTGAGCAAGGGATTCATCTGCACAACAGTCCATTCAAGTACCGCAGGAAAACTGAGTGGCAGTCAGTCTTCACCGTTCATCTACAAGCAACCGCATTCTGGGTAACCCTGTCCGCTAGTGATGTTATGAGATGAGCCGAGGCTTCGAGGCGTGATTCATTTAGAGAAGAGGCAAAAATTGATGACGTCCGAGGCCTCGTTTTCGTGATACCACGTGACCGCTTCGGGAAGCGGTTCGGGAAGCGTAAGAATTTTGACAGGCATCGAAACAACCTCAGTGTTCAGTCAAGATGTGGGAGATTGGAGGAGAGCTGCTGTCAGCTGGAAAAAGTTTGGATAGATTCTAAGAATAGATTGGTTGTTTTTCCAACCAATCTAGTTGCTTAAAGCTAATTTGGTTTGAATAAACAATGTAATGATCAAAATTTGAGCAAACCACCAGACAAAGCCAGTGTTAATAAGTATTTTCTCCCAGATCAGACTATCTACATGAGTGGCGTCCTTTGTAAGGGTCAGGCTCTCACTCTAGAGGTTGATGGTTCAACACCTGTCTCTCTCTTTTGAAAGTTGCGACTAAACTTAATTATTTTGGCTGATTAGACTAATTTACATTGTTTTGCCCGCGTAAAAATATAGATTGGCAAAATTAGGTTGGTTTAGTCAAAAGACTGGTTGAACACAACTTCCAACCTGATTAAAACCCCCCCAAAAAATGGAAAAACTATCATGTTTGAATAAAAATGACTAACACCTTTCATTTTGCTCATCACTGCCCACTTTGCACAAACACTTTCACTTTCTGCTTGAGTTTATTTCACTAAAATGGCAGAAAAACGGTGCACCTTAAATTATTGTTCTAAGAAATTTTACACTTAAAAAAAACTTACAAAATATTTTATTATACACACCAACCATTAACAATTTCAAGGGAACTTAAAAGGGGGAAAAAATAAAAACATTTGCAAAAAAAATCACAGATTTTATTACA